ACACAATCATAGGAAAGAAAAGTTAAAGTATGGCAATGTCCACAAGTTTGCTTCACTTCATCAAGTACTATTTTCAGTTCTTCAGTTCTTGCCTATTCTTCTCTGAGCACTTTCTATACTGCCATCTATTAGCCCCACAGACTATAATATTCCTTACATGGAATTTAGTTCCAGGACCAAGTTGCTTGAAAGAGCCATTAACAGAAAGATACTACGTTTGTCTTCAAAACTCCAGAAATGACATTAGAAGACTGCTAGAAAAGCTGTGTTTCGCTGTTCATCTGGAAAGCAGACCAGAAGCACAGCCTCATATCAGCAGAAACAACCATGCTTTTCTACTGTGTATTTATTGGCAGCTCAAACTTTATTTTGCCCGCTATTGCATTGCTTTTAAACATTATAAAATCCAATCCAGAGTACTATATAGATTGCTCCAAAAGTAATGCCTTCTATTTATTTCCATGGAAACTATAACATACAAAAAGCCACAATAACACTATTTAATAGAACAAATTCTCAGCTACAAAACAGTTTTTTTTTACATAGTCACCACCATTAGCTATGTATTTTTGCCAGCAATGAATGAGAGCTGCATGCTGCACTTGTAAAAATCTGCATCATTGGAGGTGACCCACTGTTTTGCACTTACTATGATGGTGCATTTGCTATGAAAATGCTGCCTACTCAGTCCATCTCTCATTGAAAGTCAGAAGGTGCCAAATTCAGACTATACTTTGAATATGTTGGACAGTCCAGCCAACATCGGCAATGTGTTCTGTGGTCTACAAACTGGCATGGTGCCTGGCATTATGGTGTTGCAAGAGAAAGACTATCTTCTTCTCTGGCTCTGGAAGTTTGAGACTTCAGCTTAGAGTCTCTATATTGTGGTCAGAGTGGATGGTTTGTCTGGGTTTCAGAAGGATCACCCTTTCCTATCCTAAAAGACAGTGCACATCACTTTACCCACCAAGGGCTGTTTCTTTTTCTTCAGTGTGGAATTCATGTGCCACCACTCTTTGAACTGCCATTATGACTGTGGCTCGTAGTGGTGAGGCTGTGTCTCAGCACCAGTAATGATGTCAACCAGGAAAATGACATCTTCAGCCTCCTATTGATTCAGTAGGTCCTGACAAACTTGCATATAGTGTTCTTTCTGTTCCTGTGTGAGCATTCATGGGACCCACTTAGTGCAAACTTTGTGATATTCCAACACTGCCACCACCGTTTCCAATGCACTGACAACAACATTCAGTTCTGTACACAGTTCCCTGGACATAATCCGCTGATTTGCACAGATGAGCTGATTGAGACCCTCCTCACTTTGTGGTGTGACAGCCATGCATGGCCATCTGGAATCTGGCTTGTCTTTCACATTGCTGTTTCTACTGCAGAAATGCATGACACAAAGCCTCACTGTGCTACATCCACTGTCTGATGTCCATCAACATCCAGTAATTGTCTATGAATGTCAGTGGGTGACTTTTTTTCTGCATGGAAGAATTCAATCCCACACCTTTGCTCCGTACACACTTCCATGTCAGATGCCATTTGTCAGACTGCCCCTCTGGTGCCATCTGTCACACAGTAACAACATGTAATGGAATACAGATAGGAAGGTTCAGTTTCTACAGCCATACCAGTAACATCTGCCTCTGAAGTTGTGAGCTAGCATCATAAAATAGGAGGCATTATTTTCTTGTCAGTCAGATAAAAAAACATATTTTTTATATCTGCTTTTCAGATCCGCTGATAGAACACTAGTAGCCTCTTTACTAATTGCATGTCAGATCTCCATTTCAGAGTAACAGTTTCATATTGTTACAGGCTGCAACATGCATCAAATTTTTTAGAAGTTTGAATTTGTTTTTCCTGAAGAGTTAGAGCACCAATTTGTATGTAACACAGGTATCACTCAGCTTTCAAATAGCACTATGAAATGCAAGAATCTTTAAGGAAACCCACTGTGGCTTTTGCCATTTTCACATCCTAAGTAACCAGACTCGGGTTCATGCAAGATGCACCAGATTAACTGAAGAGATGTATTTTCTAAGTCAAGAATAAGGCTCTATTTTGAGTTCAGTGCTATTTACTACAGCTGATGCTTAACCTTATTTCCTGGGAAAGAAGAAAGAGCAAAGAGAAGCGCATCTTCAGGCATCACCAGGGCACAAGATTTATTTCTCTTACGGGCAGAACTGGTGTCAAATGCAGTCTGTCAAACACATGATGAGAGGACTAAGATTTGCCAGCTAGCTGGTGCCATGGTTGTGGTCCTGTACAGTGTTGCTGGCAGTGCAGGCTGCTCAGAGAGCCTCCTAAAATGACCAGTACTGTGACACAACTGATAAATGTATGCACAGTGCAGTCTGGCTCAAAGCATGATTTTATTTCTTTTCTCCTAATCTGCTCATGAAATATGTTAGCTACATGCTCTCCATGCGCTTAGCTCTGCAAAATCTACAGGTTGGCAGAGGTGGGAAAAAAAAAGAAACGAAAAACAACAACAAAAAAGACAGCAAAATCGTTATTTCTATTAAAAATGGAAGACTAAAATTGAAACTAAGTGTTTTTGTTCAGACAGTCACTATAGAAATTTTGTTTTATTTTGTTTTGCTTCTCACTTTTTTTTTTTTTTTCCCAGGGGAAAAGGCTGTTAATTCTAGAAGTCGGCTGTTTGCACTGCAACATTACCAACACAAAGGACTCCGAAATGGAAACACTGATTAGAAATATTGTTATTCTCCCTATTTCTTCTTTGCTAGTCTTATGCTAAAAGCCTTAATCACTGTTACTATTACTATACATTAAAATTTAGAATCTTGCACTGCTGTCATACTGTTCTAATATATGCTACTACAATTAATAATATGTAAGCCAGTACGTACTGAAACATTAACATTTAAAGTTATCTTAGAATGTGTAAGACATGCATTTACTGCAGATATCTTAAACATAATCAAGCTGAAACTATTTACACATGAAAAATTTAAGCAGAGCTGTTGGGAGTCAGAACTCCTTTTAATTGCCTGTAACTGCAGCATTTCTGTTCCATGCTGAAATCAATTCCACATTTTCTACAAAACAATTTTTTCAATAATGAAAATCATTTTGATGGAAGAAAACAGAAACCTAGAACTTTATCCTTTAGAGCTGCTACAGACTACAAAATGCACTTTAAAAGGAAATTGTGAAAGCCAACACGATCTCAAATCACTTCTCTGTTTTAACGAAATGACACTTCTGGAAAATATTCACTGGCACACACCCAAACAACCCTCACTATAAAAACTGACATACACTTTGACAGCAATAGTAATAGCTACAGTTACATTCCGAATGCCTCTTTTTGTCTCATGTTTATCGTGGTAAAAGAAATGACAGCAAACAGTTCAGCCTGTGGAGGCTGCGAGTGGTGGGAAAGTCTGTCAGAAAACACAAAAGGAGAAAACAAAGCTAGAGAACTAGGAAGTTCCTTTCATCCTACAGTGCTTCCAGCATATAAGAGTGCACTTATTAATTGTGTTTTATAGGAACCCCCACAGAGTATTCTGTGGTGAGAATTTTGGGCAATTCCAAAAGGAGCTGTTATTCTAAGTGCTGTTTCAGAAATATTCAAAGGAAACGGCAGGGAAATCCTTCAGTGTATCACCACCTAGTCACTGTATTTTTCTCACACCTACGCAGGAAAAGCCTGTATTTTCACTACGGATAAAAACAATGTTCTTATTAAGGAATGTATAAACAGCAGACTAAAAGGAAATTTGAGTCATCTGCAGAGGTACTTCTTGCTGTTGCTTTAAGGGTACGAACCTGGCTCACACACAGCTCACTGTGGCAGAGTCAACCATATTCAGAAAGCAGCCCCTGGCTTTTAAAATAACTACTGGAATCTGAGTGCAGCGAGGCCCAATCTTAGTCGTGGTCAACAGTTTTGTCTAATGGCTAACATGTAGAGCCACTTACCAGAGTCAACACCCGTCAGAGATCTCTCAAAGACTTTCACTGGAAATGGTTCATACAGTTGGAAATAGATAGTTTACTGAGGTGACAGATAACAGATTAAGAATTGACCCTATAAATTCACTAGCCACATTGACTGGCTGTGCTAGTACCTCAAGAATAGGCAGTAATTAACTAACAATTCACCCAGGTATCATCTGCAGTTACAGAGATACATCTTGGTATCTTACTGGAGGAGGTGACCCGCTAATGGGAACAGGAGGATGGATCCAACCCATAGATATGTCCAAATAGATGCAGTGTCTCCTCTCAGCAAAGTATTGTCAGAGGGCCAGATTTATGCTCTTAATGAGGTGAGACTGAATCAGTGTGCTGACAGGCATCCTAAAACAAAGCTTGCGTTGTTAATTATGTGAGGGTTGAGGCCACTGTCTGGTACAGAGGCTGGGCTGCTCTCCCAGCTTCACCAAACTGACACCTTTATTGGAACAACATCAGGCTGGGACACTTCAGCCCCATTCCAGGCATCTTTCAGTAGCTACTGCCACTATGCCTCGAGTGAGGTGTTAATCAGCACATCTTCCCTCCATGTCAGTCCAGTGTTTAGACCAGATAAGCAAGTTGCTCAGCTCCCACCTTTTTCATGTCCAGTACAAGATAGCCATGTTAATTAATTCACATTCTTGCTTTACCTACAATTCTCTGCTGATTTACTATCACTGTATTTTGACACAGCGAGCTTGATTATTTCCTACTATTCCTAATTTGGCTTTAGAGGTTAGAATCTCCAAAGAAAAGGAGAAAGACCCTTCAAAAGAGCCCTTCAAGAAAGTGTTCCACTACATTTAATATTTTTGATACCTTGAATACATTTAGTATCTAAAACTCAGCATTAAGAATCATATATGTTAGGAAAACCCTTGTCACATAAGCAACAGTATGAAGGGGAAACCTAATGGTGACAATACTGGCTAAGAACAGCTGAAACAGCAGTAGTAATCGTTTTCATCATTAGGGAAAACTTCCAATCAAAACATTACCTCTCTACAACATCTTCTCCATTCCAGCAGGTTGAGCTGTCTCTCATCACCAGGTCTCCATCACACAGCCTTTCTGCTATAGAGGCATAAAAGGTTCGGGATCGCTTCATATAATTGATGAATTCTCTGCAATGGAGGAATAATACATTTAATAACAAAACCATTCACAAGATTTAAGCACACAGTCCTCTGCGAAAATCAAATTTTACATCCCACAGAAAAATTAAAAGTCAACCAAGCTAATTAAAATTTATTTCTAGTGTATATCTACTACTGTGTACCATCCGTTATCACATACTTCCATACAAAGAGCAGTTTCAAGAAACAATGTTAACACCTCAAAATTTTAAAGAAATCCACATCTACAGCCTCAAGAGATTAAAAAAAAAAAGAAAAGAAACACTATCACAAAAAAGAGTGGTGCTGTTTTGTTTTGTTTTGTTTTTTTTTCCCCCAGTGCTGGAATCAAATACCTCTCCCTTCCCTGCACACAAGAGAGATACATAAAGAACTGTCAATAAGCTCCTGGGTGGAAAATGCTTCATAAAGCTAGTGACAAAACCTGTAATATGCCATTAAATACACATGGAACAAGAGAAACGAATGCCATCTCCTTGGGATGTGGTGGGGCCATTTCCTCCCCATAATCACTATCCACATCACATTCACGCTGGAAAGAAATTTCTCTCCCTTCAACTCTGGCAACATGCCCACAGGAGATGGTTGTGCCTGCTGCTTTGGAGCACCACCAAAATTCCTGGCCTGTGCAAACAACCCATTTCTGATTAAACATGGAAAAATGCCTTGTGGCTAAACTGCTGCCTCCATAATCTGGTTATACATATAATACGTATCTCGCTGAGGCAGCCATAAAAATGCACACTATAGCAAAACAAGTGTTCATTCAGCACACCTTTGGGAGCACTGTGATATAAGAAATTACCCTCTATCCACACATCCAGAAGCTTATTTCGTATAAGATAGCTAAAGATGTTGGTAAGGAGGACACAGAAATTCACTAGAATTATCACGGTGCTGTCTGCCTCCTTCTGGAAGGCCAAAAGACTCATTCTGGTTTACTGTGCTTCTGCCTGTCAGGCTGCAGGACAACACTGTCCTGAAGAGGTGCCTGGGATGCAGCTAGGCGGAGTTTGGCACATGAGCTGTCAGGATGTATTACTTTTTGGGGAGTTACAAGTGCTTTAAAGAACATTTAAGGCTACTATTAGGCATCTATCCTCAAGACTGAGACAGGGTTATTTTTCCACATAACAGTCTTTTCACTTCCCCAATTTTTCTTTTTTTTTTTTTTGCCATCATATTTGTCTAACATGTGACTGTCCTGCCCTAGATGAATGAGTCATCACATAGTCCTAAGGAGCAAGCTTACCCTAACATTGCAAGAAAGCTGTCATTGCAAGAGAAAAAAAAAAAGGAAAAAAAAAAGAAAAAAAAAAAAAAGTGAATAGGAATTTTTGGCTTTATAAAGGAAGAAATCAGTATTTCTGCCTCTTGACCACTCACAAGCAGGAGCTCTGTGTATGTACATACTGAGGTTAAGTCTGGACGACACCTCTCTGACAGAATCATCCGGAGAGCATCTATTTATGCAAAGCTGACATAGATGCTGAAGATTTTAAGCCCTCTAAAGGCAGTTTCCTTTGAAGCAGTTAAAAGTCGCCCCTTTAAGAGAGGCTGAAGCTCTTCTTACTCAGCTCACCCCAAGAGGCTTTAACTCCATGTTTTCAGCAGTGGGGTTCTGACATTTTAAAACAACATCTTTGCAAATGAAGATCTGTATCTGCAAGTCTTAACCAATAAAAGCATTTACTTTTCATCAATATAAAACTAAACATGCTAGGCAGAGAAAGCAGTGTTTCCCAATGTCCCGCTGTATAAAATCAGCACACACAAAAGTATGCCAATTACTAGATTACAGCTGAAAGAGCAGCTTACAATGGAGATGAGCAAAGCACTGATTGTAAGCATGTCACTTTGTTTTCATCCTTACCGAGAGATTTTTTTCAAACTTCTTGATTTGTCATTCTTTGAAGGTTTCAGAGGCAGAGAACTGGAATAGGCCAGGGAGAATAAGCATCAGTCAGAGTTTGGGGAGTAGGGGAGAAGCAGGAGTTCAGGCAAATGAGGGAAAAAATGAGAAACAAGAGAAAAATAAAAATTATTTGAGAGAAAGGTCATCAAGCACATGCATAGGACAATATAAGACAACAAATGAAGAGGAAAATTGACATGCGATTTTCCCAAAATGTAGATGCAATTAAACATGTCAAAGTAATGCTGAAGAAATACAATGGAGATTTTGTTTCTCTTGATCATTTTCAAATAAGAGCACAGTAACAAATGCAGCACAGTGCCAAAAGCTGAAAATAAATTCAGTGGGACTCAAATTAACCATAACTGATACCAAATGGATGAACTGCAAATATCTGAGGCTATATAGGGAAATAATGAGAAACAGTGTAGAACGATCATCATGGCAAAGGGGATATAAATGAGTAGAACTTGCTTTCTTGTGCAATGAGCAGTTTGCTCTGTTAACAAAGACTGCATACACAGATATCTTCTACTGTTCATTTCTGGACAGACTGCATCAAGGACTGCAAAAAACAACTTTACAAACCAGAATATATGGGCTTTAGGATTGTATCTGAGGAAAAACTGGAAAAAAAAAATCTGTCAGTTACTTAGTGCAAGTTCATTTTTTAGACACTGATGTCAGAGGTCCCTCAAATAATATTGTCTTTAGCATCCTGATGCAGTTTTCCATTTAATGACTTGAAAACACATTCTGCTCTTTCTTATACCAGTACTCTTCAGCATAATGGCAATGCCTGGAGTACAGTATGCCAACAAACAGATTCAGTGATAGTTACCAATCTAGTTATGTCTTATTGGAGACAGACACTACCTCCACCTTCTTCAGTAGCTCTCGGAAAACCCTGCTGGTGTTTTTTTGGGAATGAGGGCAGGGCTGACCTGCTATGAGCATCAGGTGCCATCCACCACCACGGAAGCAGTGCTTCCAACACAGCCAGTCAAAAAGAAAAATCAGTATTTGTATCAGGCAGAATTTGGACCAGCTGAAACTTCTGCGTTCATGACCCAAAAAATGTTCTGGTTTTCTCTGCAGTAAATTCATTTGCGTTCGGTGCTAATAATCCATGTTGTACTAGCACCTTACCACTTAGATTTCAATAAAACCACGTGGTGTGCCTGATCCAAATTTTATTTTAAATAAAATAGATGATCTTGACTTCCAGCATTCCCAAAGATATTCGAAATTGTTTATTTTAAGATGTATAAAACACATCCGCAAGCCCATAGGATAACAAAGAAATACCACCAAAATATCATTTCAAAGCTTGCTTCCTTCAATTAGGGACTTCACATCATGTCGTATTCTTCTCAAACATAACAGAACTCTGTAGAAAGATCTCTATCCAGTCTGTGTTTAGTGGCTGGAAATACTGCACACAGAAGAAATGCCAGAAGGCATTTTCCAGGAGTCTGAACCTTGACCAGTGTAGTACATTGTGCTGAACTCAGCAACAACATTCCAATCTACTGATCTAGATTGTGTACATGCCATGTACATTCTGTGTACCACCATATGGTTTCAATTTTCTTGTCATCTTTACTGTATGTTTTAGTAACCTCCACATTAAAAAATCACAGCAGCACCAATACTGATGAGCTCAGTTAATCACCGAATAATGAAAAAAAATGGTTTTAAAAAAATGCATACTTCTCAGCTTAATCAAGGAGACAGTTTGCCAGGAGATCATGCAGCAATTATTCAAATCTCATCTTCTTAACGTTATTTTCGTCTTGATAGTTAGTGCTGCTTAGCAAAAAATAAGAACGAGATATGGGGGAAAATAAAGATGAGAAATCTCATAGCAACCCATATGGCAGTGAGAGGAGCAGAAAGCCCCAGAAGATCCAGCTGCTGCCCAAATTCAGGGAGAGTGCAGGACCACACTGCACTGAACAGCAGAGGGTGATTTCCTTGAGTGGAACTTCCTCCGACCAGACCCTAAAAGACACGGGGCCAGAAGAAAGCCCAGCTCAGGGAAGAGAAACCATCTCAACAGGCCTACCTTACAAATGCTTGAGAAGCTTTGACTCCAATGAACAGGTGAAACCAGAGATTCTCAGACTCTGGAAAAGGAGCTTGATTCTATAATTGGCTTAGCAAAGATGCAGTACCTTTGGAACAAATGTAAGTATGCAACTGTAAACTGGTACTAGGTTTTTAAGGGCATCTATAAGGGCACATCCCACAGGTTTGCTACTACCCTGACTGTTCTTTGAGCTTAATGCACTATTCTGGTGCATTAAGGGAATGAGCCATCGCTTTTTTTGTTTACCTGGGGAGTGTTCACTCATTCTTTTTCTTCTTTTTTTTTCTTTCCTTACTGTATAAAGGAGTCGTGCTCTGTATCCCATTTGAAACAAGGATCATTTGGAGGTCTGTGTACAACACAGACAAGCAGCCTGGGGCTAAGTTGGGATGAATCCCAGTGTGACCTAGGACCTAAACTGACAGACGGCTGACATTATTGCTCCTGATTTTTTAAATTTCCAGAAGGAACAGCACCAGGAAAGATTCACATAATTACTCTCATAACCTAGGTCCCCTGCAGCAGTTACCTGACACTAAGTGCCTTTTGTACAACCCACTGCAGTGATGATTTTACCCATCATTATGACACTTTATTACCTAAAATTACTTTTTATTGATATATGTGATTGAATGATAGAAGGCAAACAACAGAAGCCATTCACTGTGGGTTTTTTTTTTACTGTTTCACAGTCACAGAAACAATGTACAAACTTTATGCTGTATGTTTTATTGCAAGTTCTGGAAAACGTTCTGCACCTTTTACTAATTATGGCTGCATCATTAACTTTTGATGCATGAGCTGTCCACAATACTTACTGATGCTGTATTTCAGTAACAATCCTAATTCTGTAAGGGTGGCCTTACTTTAGATGTTTGGGGTAATGCAATTTTTAGTGAGCAGACCAAGTCTGGGAAAGTCTAACCCATAGAGAATAGTTCAAATACATTTTCTTTTCCACGTAAGTGGAAAGAAAGTCTTTTCCACTTACATTTTAAAAGGTGAACATTCAAATAATTCCAGAGGTAGGGAGTGCAAAAGATTTGCTGTCATGCTACTAAAGACACCAATTCCCATTTCTGTGAGAGGCCACTATTTAACAGGCTGTTAATTCTGCCTTTATTGTTGCCAGGATTTAAGTCCCAGTGAAGTCAATGAGTTATACAGAAAATAGGCTTAGAATTCTGTGGTTTTAAAAACATATTTTTTTAATAGTAATACCACCATTGTTTGGACTATTTCCGCTGAATTTATTGATTTTCTTAATGCCCTTTTCTCTGATATTCTGCGTACATGGTAAAAAAAATGATTCATTCCAAGAACTAGCACAAAATGTTGATCTTCAGTTTTAAATTACACAAGGATAAAAGTGCTGCTATCACTCAAAAAAAAAAAAAGCTTTGCATGCTGCTGTCTCCTACCTATATAATTTTTTCTCATTCCCGTAATACGTGACAATTAAAATAAAAACAGACGAAAATGCCATCTTCACAACATAGACATCAGGACCCAGGCTATATAAATGTTAATACTGCTCTTATCAACATACAGAGATACACACAGACTCCCTGGGAAGTTTAGATGCTTATGCCCAGAACAATTCCATTCACTTTGCTAAGCTGTTCCAGAATCACACTGGTGTTACTGAAAACAGCATGTTAGCCAGAAATATGTCATTTTGATTTTATGGTCAGCTGGCTCTGGTATCTATTCACTTAACATCAATGAATTGCAAATATATTCTTCCCCTACCTTCACATTTACAGAAAGCTAATCCAGGAGCTATGGAAGGGGAAGTGAAAGAAAGATCAGAAAACCATGGAGCAAGGACACTGACGACAGGACTGAGGCCAGTGGCAATAATTCAGCATTCTAGTTACTCAAATGGCATGCAGCCAAAGAACAGAAGCCAAAGTGGGCACAAAATCCTAAATACAAGTAGTTCTGCTCCTTCCCTGTTATGTAACAAACCAGGCAGATTGCAAGGAATCTTGCTGCCTGCACCAGTGAGAAGGGAGAACTTGTTCTTTCTGCCCTGTGAAATCACTGACTTTGTGTCACGGCAATCAATCTTTCTTCTCCACCCATTTCCCCTTCTCATCTCTGCCCTGGGATAAGCCTGCATCCTCTGGGTCCTGAGTATTTATATATTACTGTATATTAAGCAACATAGATTCACCCGTGGAAAAAACTCAGACTTTGAGGGAAAAGCTTTCATCATTTTCATTGAAAGTTTCTGGAAATAAAAACATCTTGGTGCTAAATAGAGACATCAAGTCTGGCCTGTTGTTTCTGGGGAGATCTGCAATGCAATATCACATACACATTTATCTAACTATCAGCAATGGCAATAACAGAGCATGCATGCACAGGATGACAGAAATATGCCTCTGGCTTAAACAGTATGGGACAAGGAACCACAAGCATGAATTGTGAGGCAGAATTTATCTGAACTCAGCCATTGCTTAGGGTTACCTTCTTTTATTGTTCAGACTAGCATGAGCCAACACAAGTGTCTGGGCTTCAGTTGCTTCCTTCAGTGGCACTATATGGCCTGATGGCTGGTTCCCTTCTTGTTGTTTGGGCTGTCCACACACTTTATCGACCTGTGTGAAAGGAAGGGAAATAAAAACTGTGTTTGAACAGTGAAAATGATTTCTAATTGCACAAGGGTCAGCCTGCTCCTTGTTGTTGGCATTTATTGCAAGAGAAAGTGTCCAAGGGACAGAAATAAATTATTCTTCTTTCCAGGATCTAGAAACTAGCTGTCTGCAGAAGGATGAGCTATAGGGAAAAAAGCACTGTTACCAGAAAGCCATCAGCTGTGCATTTGTTACTGGATACCAGACTATAGCACATCTAGAAACAAGTTGAAATGGTGACACTTCTATGTAGCTCAATTTAAAAGTGACTGATGAAAGTGTTGCCAAATCCAATTTTTATGTAGAAACATACTTGGAGAGCTTGAAGGTCAAGAAATTTTGGTCCAGCATCTGCCCTATGTATAGAGAGCAGAGTCTTACGTCCTATTTGGATTTTGAACAAGCTTACACTCAAACAAGCTTCCCAGCCTTTAACGAGACAATGTTTTCCCTTAAAATAAGGAAATAAGTAGAAAAATGCAACACAAATAAATAACTGTCAATATAGTAAGTGGTCTTTCCTTGGAGAAACAGAATAAAAAAACACCACCCAGCCACAGGAATCACCAGTGCCTTAGATCCTAGGTCCTGAACAGTAACGCTGCTCAGCTACTTGCCCTTACCGTCCCTCCTGGAGCCTCTCATAAGGGAATTCATGCAACAGCAGAAGAAAGCAAGCTTGCATTTATCCTCTGTGCACTGTGCATTTGGCACTGCTCTTGCATCCTGATACATTTATCTGCTCTAACAGTTTTAAGTCACAACATTAAAATAAAGCTCTTCCCTTTCTAATCCACAAATAAGTCACAGACAACACGAAGCAAACACAAAAAGAGGACAAAAGAAATCCTAATACTGGCATGGTAATAGCAAAGCCTTAATCACACATAATGTATCATACCACATAGTGCTGACTCTTATCCCTTATTCAGTTTTCTACCATAACATGGATTGAGAAGGATTCATGCTAGCCTATGCACTTTGCTGCATCTTTAATGCCCATACTGAGTCATGGCTGCGTATCTGCTTTCTTCTGCCCCTCTGCATCACAACATTGTATATATCTGTGTCCACGGCAGTACAGGATAATTTTCTCTATCTTAGCCCATCTCCTCCAGAAAACTACTATCAGAAACCTCTCTACAAGATACCTCTGAAAAAAACAGGCCGATTGAATATGAAAAGTGGGAATGTGTACAGACATAGCACTTACCGTCAATCTTAGGTGTATGAGCTACAGCCTGGTCCAGTATAATACACTGTAAAGGAGGCAAAACTAGCAAATGAATGCAAATGTACTGGATTAACCCTGACATACATGCAGCAGTCAGAGCAGGAGCCAGCCACCTCATTAAGTACTGTGTATATTGTTCTTGCTACACCATGGACCATCACCACATCACTTCAAAACATAGCTTTATAAAATAAAATAGAAAACACTACGGAAATGAAAATATTTTTTAAAAAAGTATCTTTCAGAGCTCTCTGGAGCTCAACAGAGGGTGCACCTGGGCTACAATCCTGCAAAGGACTCTCTCCCAGAGTCCCAGAGACTCTCTCCTGGGTATCCCAGGTCTACAACACAGAGACCAAATTCCTACCACAGGTTTCTGCAAAAACCATTTTGGTTTAACTGAAGTTTATATCTTCAAATTATACACAACTCAAATTGCATCACTACTGCTCTAACCAACTGTTAGAGCACTTTGGAAAAGTAATGTAATTTTCGCGAATGTGAGTGTACACAAGCAATGAAGAACTCTCCGATTTTGTTTTCCTATGCAAAATTTCAAAGGAATTTAAAGTCCTTGTCTTTGATATTGTATGGGAACTGCTGAGTCACGGCCTGAACCTCTGATTGATCACGAGGTGAGCACTGAGTCAACCATGGGAGCACAGGTGAATTGCCTTCACCTGTCCTGCTGGAAGGGGTGGAGCCTGGCTGCATCTCTCCCAGACCCATTTAAGAGCTGACTGCCAGTGGGGAAGGATCTCTTCTGGAGATCTGCTATGCTGGAGTTTTGTGACTGAGCCCAGGATACAGGTAAGCTTTCTATCTCCTTTCTTTTTGTTATCATAATCTGATTTGTCTAACTCTCTTGTTTATTTTGTAAGTATGACTTCTTAATATTCATTGATTATACAGTTATGAATCTGTAGTTTAAGCATCCAAATGAAAATACTTGTTTTGCTCTGATTTGTGTTTTTGACATGAGAGAAATAAAATCATCTGTTAAGTTGCCAAACCTTAAATTCTAGGTTTTCTTTCTAACTGATACTAAGAGCTTCCTGCAATTCAAACAACCACAGTACTTTTGGAAAAAAAACTATTTCTCAGTGGAAAACTTTAACTGTTCAAAAGAAGGTGACTCATTCAATGAAACAGTAGGTCACAGTCACTTTCTTTTTTTTTGCCTTGTGGACATTTTAGTCCCTCTTCTCCCAATACACTAGAAAGCACTAGAAATCCTATGCAATTGAAATTGTTGCATATGTGTTTTAATCTTTAGTAAAACTAACAAGATGGGAGATACAATTATAAGATATTATTAGTAATAACAGTAATTCTTCAATGACTCAGTTGAGATCTGAACTGCCTGGTACAAGGAAGAAACAAGTGCAGTTAGGCAGACCCTGTCGAATACCACTTGACACATTTAGGAGCAACATATTATGCACAACTGGGGCAGAGGTCATCAGTGTCACAGCAGGAGCACACAGTGCACAGGTGGTCCCACATGCAGTGCATCTCACTCCTCCATGTTACTGTTGACCACCAGATGTTCTTTCTTCCTGTCCTCTTCAGGGCAGTAAGGACAGAGTACTTCATTCCACCACAGTTCCCATGTGTATGCAGGTGGTTTGAGAACCTGTATGCCTTTGGATGTGAAGACCAAACTCCTCTTTGGCTTTTGAGTTACTCCTCATTTGTCCCATTTGTTTCATGTTTTCAGTGAGCTGTAGAGAAAGCTAACTACACTGTTATTACTTAAATGTGAACTGTGATGTCTCACTGAATTGTGTATTTATTCTGCAAAGTACTAGGACAAAATGCTGAATTGTATGATATTTAATAATATGTCCTCTCTAACAGTTTACTGTTTTCAAACACACAACTGATAACTTGGATTCCTCTTATATCATCCAAATAATCAATGTTTCACAAATATATACACTTTTACTGGACTTAATGTTGTTTTCTTTTTTAGCATATACACCAATGATGTTACTTTAAATATCTTTCAACAACCATTAGCTACATTTCTTCCCTGAACTCTGTAATGAAATACAGACTCATAGGTGGATTATTCAACCTCTTACTATTTGTTCTTTAAAAGAATGACTATTTACAATTGTTGAAAAGTCTTAACAAAATAAATTGGAAAAAAAGAATCTTTTGAACTCTTACAGTTTGAGCAACCTTAAACACTGAGGTCATGTTTAATATATCCTATATAATCAAACAAGGGAAAAATGTCATGCCCTTCCAGATGCCAAGAGTATCTTAACTCCCTGAAGCAGGAGACCTTTTCACTAGTTCACAGTAGTAACTTTCTTTTAAGCAGTATTGTAAAATATTTTCTACTGATTGAACTTACAAGATATTTTTAAAATGCAGACAGATTTTCCAGCAAGTTATTTCCCCTGACTGTGTGTGAAGTTTTGCAAAAATCCAGAGGCTGGGTCACAGGACCATAGAAAGGCACAGGTTAAAAGGGATCTTAAAAATCATCTAGTTCTACCCACCCTGCCATGGACAGTGCTGTCAGCCATCAGATCAGGCTGCCCAGGGCCCCATCCAGCCTGGCCTTGAACAACTCCAGGAATGGGGCATCTGCAACTCAGGGCAACCTGCACCACCCCCTGAGGAAAAAAATATTGCTCCTAGTATTTAATCTAAATCTCCCTTCTTTTAGTCTAAAACCGTTTTCCCTCGTCTTACCACTATTTGCTCATGTAAAAAGTTGATCTCCCTCCTCTTTATGAGCTCCATTTAAGTACTGGAAAACCGCAATGATGTATGCCCAGAATGTTCTCCAGGCTGAACAAGCCCAGCTGCCTCAGCCTGTCTCCATGAGAGGTGCTCCAGCTCTCTGCTCACCACTGCGGTCCTTCACTGGACCTGCAGGCGACACCAAGTTGGAAGTGTCAATCTGCCTGAGGGGAGGAAAGCCATACAGAGGGCTCTGGATAGGCTGGATCAATAGGCTAAGGCCAAGTGTATGAACTCCAACAAGACTAAGTGGTGGATCACTTTGGTCACAATAACCCCAGGCAACACTACGGACTTGGAGCAGAGATGCTGAGAAGTGGGATTGTTCAGTTTGGAGAAGAGAATTCTCGAGGAGACTTTATTGTTCTCTACAACAACTTCCTGGAAGGTGGCTGTAGTGATGTGGGAGTTGGCCTCTTTTCCCAGTTTACAGGGATAGGGCAAGAGCTAATAACTTCAAGTTGTTCTAGGGGATGTTCAGGTTGTGTTGTTTTTTCTTTTTTTTTTTTTTTTTTTTTTAATTCTCAGAAAAAGCAGTGTGGCATTGGAATGGACTGCCCAGGGAGGTGGTAGAATCACCAGTGTTGGAGAGTTTAAAGAAATTTGTAGATGTGCCATTGAGGAACATGTTTCAGTGGCCGTGGTGGTGATGGATTGATGGTTGTACTAGATGACCTCAGTTGTCTTTTCCAACTTCAGCGGCTGTATGAGTCCATGTTTTTTTCCAGCCATTGGGGACTTCACGTGACAGACATAACTTTTCAAATAAGATGGAAAGTGGCTTGGCAAACATAAGCCTGTTCCTTCAAGACTCTGGGGTGCATGTCAAGCCTCAGAGGCTTGTACACATTCAGCCTCATGAGGCAGTATCAGAATTGCGCTGCTTTTACAGTGGGAGAGATTTTGCTACCCTGATCTATGCCTTGAGGCTCAGAGGCTTGAGCAGCATGAGAAGCCTGACTGCCAATGA